TTTTCACGATGTTGAATGCAAAGTATCACATCAAAAACGGTCGAATAACACCCAAAACTTGACGATCCAATAAAACCTAGTCAACAATATCTTTCATCTCCTTTGACTTATTTCCTGGTAGAGGTTTGTGTAGCTTTTTCTAGTACATATAATCTTCAATTTTCATCTTTTCAGAATTTAAAGCCTTTTCTCGTCAAACTTATCAATTCTAGCTTTTCCTTATTCTCGCTATCGTTCTTCCTCACCATGCTAACTTTGGGCTATGATACAAGTTATTAGGAAACGAATCAAGCAAAAGAATATAGTAAAAAGACAAACACAATAACACAATCCAAAGATTTTACATGATTCGACAATGGTTCCTACTCCACAGTTGTATTAAGATTTCTTATTAAGTTTTATCAAGTGACGGTTATAAATACAAGTGATGTTGTCTCTATTTATAGTATGGATAAAAAAAGCCTAACGAGCCTATATATCTAACTCAATATTCTATAGGCCTCTTAGAGGTTTCGCTCTCGAGCCTCCGCAAAGGGTGCTTCCCCTTGATCCCATACTATATCTTTATAGTGCCTTATACTATGAGTCCCCATTCACATCGGTCTCCACAACTTAATAGATCATATATGCAAAAAAAAAAAAAAAATGTTTTAAAACATTATTACAAAGGTGCTCACAAGGAAAAGAAGGAGAAGTTGCAAACTTTATGCACATAGATTTATTTGTGATTTGTCGAAAGTTAAAGAAATCATAATTGAGTTTTATTCTCTCGAAGATGAAGTTGATGACATTTTCACGAAGCCACTTAAAACTAATTTGTTCTTTAAGTTTAAAAGAAATTTGAAGAGCTTGGTTTTAGGAAAGGTGTTATGGCATTAGTCTTCAATCCTTATATCCCAAGGATTTGATCTCTTAGTAGGAGTCGAGTTTTCTAATAGACATAGAACTTGTTATTACTCTTTGTTAAAAATTTTTATTTTAGTTAATACTAGCCGTTGCCCACAATAAATACGAGTAGAACAAAATCATTTAAAAAATTTTAATTTTAATTTTTTATTTAATTATTTTATTTAATGTTTTTTATAAATTTTATGCTTAAAAAACATAAATCATTCTTCTTTTATGGATTGATTTTTTAAAAAAATTGTAATACTTTTAACTAAAATATTAATCAAGAATTAAAAAAACTTTTAAAATATATTTTTCATAATATTGTATTCCAAAAAATAAAGTTATAATTAATGGACAAACTCTTACAAAAATTAACAAATATATTTAATGCTAATGAGAAAATTAATTTTTAAAATTATCCATGCAATGCTACGGGTAGATAGAATAAAATCACTTCAAAATTTCATATTTTTTTCATTAATTTTTTATTTCATTAGAACTATTTTTTGTGTGTTTTTCATAAAATTTACGCTTAAAAAATTTGATTTATTCTTCTTTATTCATGGATTCTTAAATAAAAACTTGTAATAATTTAAACCTGAAATATTAATTAAGAATTCAAAAAAATAATTAAAAAAAATACTTTAAAATTATATATTTTTATAAGAATGTATCCAAAAAATAAAATTACAATTAATGTATAGACTTGCATAAAAATTAACCAATGAAAAAATAAAATTTTATTCTTATTTAATGTTGGTGAGAAGATTTTTTTTTCAAGTATATGAATTTGATACACACACACACACACACACACACAAAATAACCAATAAAATTAGCATTAAAAACTGTATTTGAATAATTGATTAGTTCTTTTAAAAAATTATTTTATTTCAAATAAATTGGTTCTATAATGTTAAAAAAAATATTCATAGTAAATAATTTGTATTATGTTGGAAGATGTATAGTTAATTTTTAATATAAAAATAGGAATAAAAATTAACTTGATGTGAATTTTTATAATAAATTGAAAAGATCAATTCTAAACAATAAGAATAGTATATATTTATTCTAAAATCTAAAAATATATCGTATATATTGAATAAAAATCATTTTATATGGAAAAAAAATTGATTTTTTTAAAATTTTAACACTCAATTAAATAAAAAAGAAAGAACATAAATTGATGAAAAAAATCAAAGAAAAAAACATGTGTAGTGCATCAGCTAGGGGGTTAAAATTATATATTTTTTTTACAATAATGTATCCAAAAAATAAAGTTACAATTAATGTATAGACTTGCATAAAAATTAATCAATGAAAAAATAAAATTTTATTCTTGTTTAATGTTGGTGAGAAGATTGTTTTTTTCAAGTATATGCATTTGATACACACACACACACACACACACACACACACACACACACACAAATAATCAATAAAATTAGCATAAAAATTATATTTAAATAATCGGTTAGTTCCTTTAAAAAATTATTTTATTTCAAATAAATTGATTTCATAATGTCAAAAAAATATTCAGATCTTTTATGGATTGATTTTTTAAAAAAATTGTAATACTTTTAACTAAAATATTAATCAAGAATTAAAAAACTTTTAAAATATATTTTTCATAATATTGTATTCCAAAAAATAAAGTTATAATTAATGGAAAAACTCTTACAAAAATTAACAAATATATTTAATGCTAATGAGAAAATTAATTTTTAAAATTATCCATGCAATGCTACAGGTAGATAGAATAAAATCACTTCAAAATTTCATATTTTTTTCATTAATTTTTTATTTCATTAGAACTATTTTTTGTGTGTTTTTCATAAAATTTCTGCTTAAAAAATTTGATTTATTCTTCTTTATTCATGGATTCTTAAATAAAAGCTTGTAATAATTTAAACCTGAAATATTAATTAAGAATTCAAAAAAAAATAATTAAAAAAAATACTTTAAAATTATATATTTTTATAAGAATGTATCCAAAAAATAAAATTACAATTAATGTATAGACTTGCATAAAAATTAACCAATGAAAAAATAAAATTTTATTCTTATTTAATGTTGGTGAGAAGATTTTTTTTTTCTTCAAGTATATGAATTTGATACACACACACACACACACACACACACACAAATAACCAATAAAATTAGCATTAAAAACTGTATTTGAATAATTGATTAGTTCTTTTAAAAAATTATTTTATTTCAAATAAATTGATTCTATAATGTTAAAAAAAATATTCATAGTAAATAATTTGTATTATGTTGGAAGATGTATAGTTAAGTTTTAATATAAAAATAAGAATAAAAATTAACTTGATGTGAATTTTTATAATAAATTGAAAAGATCAATTCTAAACAATAAGAATAGTATATATTTATTCTAAAATCTAAAAATATATCGTATATATTGAATAAAAATCATTTTATATGGAAAAAAATAACAATTGATTTTTTAAAATTTTAACACTCAATTAAATAAAAAAGAAAGAACATAAATTGATGAAAAAAATCAAAGAAAAAAAACATGTGTAGTGCATCAGCTAGGGGTTAAAATTATATTTTTTTTTACAATAATGTATCCAAAAAATAAAGTTAAATTAATGTATAGACTTGCATAAAAATTAATCAATGAAAAAATAAAATTTTATTCTTGTTTAATATTGGTGAGAAGATTGTTTTTTTCAAGTATATGCATTTGATACACACACACACACACACACACACACACACACACACAAATAATCAATAAAATTAGCATAAAAATTATATTTAAATAATCGGTTAGTTCCTTTAAAAAATTATTTTATTTCAAATAAATTGATTCCATAATGTCAAAAAAATATTCAGAGTAAATAATTTGTATTATGTTGGAAGATGTATAGTTAATTTTTAATATAAAAATAAGAATAAAAATTAACTTGATGTGAATTTTTATAATAAATTAAAAAGATCAATTCTAAATAATAAGAATAGTATATATTTTTCTAAAATCTAAAAATATATCGTATATATTACATAAACATCAGTTTATGTGGAAAAAAAATTACGATTGATTTTTTAAAATTTTAACACTCGGTTAAATAAAAAAGAAAGAACATAAATTGATGAAAAAAATCAAACAAAAAAAACATAAGTAGTGCATCGGCTAGGGGTTAGAATTTTTATTTTATAATTCTAAAGACCAAATGAAACAATTTAGAATTTTTTTTAAAAAAGATGAATAGTATTTTGTGAGGAGATGAACAATAAAACTCACTGTTTAAATAAAACACCTCTTTTAATTATATAGTAATCGGACTTGTTATTAGTTGGTGCAGAGCTTTTTATAAATTTAGGAGCTTGGTCTTCTCTTAGGTAAGCCTAGTAGTTAAAAAACAAACACTAGCATCCCATGTGATTTAAAACAATTATATTGTGAGTTGAATTACAGTTTTAATTTAAACAAATTAATGTGTGTATAGCTAATGTAGATTTTTGAAAAAAATAAAATATTGTATTGGGTTTTTTTTTTTTTTTTTTGATATGTATGATGGAATAACAGTATATTGTTAAAGAGCTGAAATCGGAAAAATAAAATATAATCAAATCAAACCGTGACAATTAAAGTTTTATGATCTAGGAGTGTGTGTATGATTTAGCCAAGAATCACCCATCCTGTAATATCTCGTTTGCACAAGACGTGGGGCTCTTGAATATTTGCCGTTGTCTTTAATTATTTTAGTCTTGACTTCCTATTAGCTTTGAACTCCTGTAAAGGCCTCGAGTCATTTACCATGCTAAAAATAAATGATTACCAAACCCAGCCCCCTCCCCCCTTTTTTTCTTTTTTTGAAAATTAACAATCCAATAGTCCTATAGTCTATATATTTAGTTGTTTACAATACATTTTGCCGTTAAATGTAAACATTTATTGTATTATTTATTTTATTTTTTGTGGCATCGTAAATTTAAAAATTCAAATTAATCTTTTATTATTTTGTTAAGTACATAAAATAAAGAAAATAATCTAAAAAAATTCTTATATATAAAAAAGAATCAAACTCAAGTAGACAACTAAAATTTCTTCTCCTCAAGCTAAGATTCTTGGGTTAAACATTTGTCATAGTGAGTAGAGGCAGGGATAGCAATTTTTCCAACTTGAAGGGATCTATGTTTGTACTTGTTCCATTGGTTGGAAGCATGCAATTCAACACACGGAAGATGAGGATGCCATAAAGCGTGCGTAAAGAAAACGAGCCAAACTTTTGTCCTTATCTCTCTCTGTACTTGGCTCAAACTTAGCGTGCAGCAGCCAGCTCTGCCCATTTCGGTGATGCCATTACCAAATATACCACCCAATCCACCGTTATAAATAGGCGCACGATTCACTCTACCTGACCATTACCAAATATACTACCCAATCCACTGTTATAAATAGGCGCACCATTCACTCTCCCTGACCATTACCAAATATAACACCCAATCCGTGCCAAAAAAAAAAAATAGAGGAAAAGAGATGGCAGCAAAGGAAGAGCATCCCACTAAAGCTTTTGGATGGGCAGCTAGAGACCAATCTGGGCTCTTCTCTCCTTTCAAATTCTCGCGAAGGTTCCTCATCTTTCTCTTTCTCAACCTTTTTAGCTCCCACTGGTCGATCACCTTAAATCTATCAATACTTCCATTTAATTATGACTTGTGTTAAGCAAAAATTCCTCTTGCAGGGCAACAGGAGAGAAGGATGTGGTATTGAAGGTGCTGTTTTGTGGAATATGTTACTCACCTTCATATGGCCAAGAATGAGTGGGGTACCTCTACCTACCCTGTGGTCCCCGGGTATGTACTCTATGATCATATAAGTATACAAGGAGAAGTTTGAATTAAAGAGCGAAGATCAAATTAATGTAAATGATAAACATCCTATTGAGTTACGAATTAATTAAGAAGTAATCTTTCCCTTTGTAACACCGATAAACGATTAAACTATACGGCTATACTCGAATCCCGGTATATTGGCAAATGATACGAGTCTTGTCCATGTACATTTGACAAATAAAGCTGTTAGGATGTATATTAATTAAGGTGAATCAAGCTTAATATCCTAACATGGGCATACATCCGAACTTTGATATATATTAATTCGAATTTGAATCAAACTTAATATCCTAACATGGACTTGCATCCGAACTTTACGTTGACAAAATTGGCATTGCGAGGCATGAGATTGTGGGACAAGTGACGGAGGTAGGAAGCAAAGTTGAAAAGTTCAAAGTTGGAGACAAAGTGGGGGTAGGGTTCTTGGTTGGATCATGCCACTCTTGCGATAGTTGTAGCAACAATCTTGAAAACTACCGTCCGTAAATGATATTCACCTAGGTGGTGGCAAGTACCATGATGGAACCACCTCATACGGTGGCTTCTCGGATATTATGGTCGCGAGATGAGCACTTTGTAATTCGAATTCCGGACAACCTACCTCTTGATGCCGGTGCTCCTCTCCCGTGCGCGGGAATTACGGTGTATAGCCCACTTGAGATTTTATGGTCTTGACAAACCGGGTATGCATGTGGGTGTGGTTGGACTTGATGGGGTAGGTCATGTAGGCTGTAAAATTTGCAAAGGCTATGGGGGTCAAGGTGACGGTGATTAGTACCTCTCTCAAAAAGAAACAGGAAGCTCTCGAGCATCTTGGCGCCGACTCATTTTTGGTTAGCGGGACCACGATCGGATGCGAGTATCAAAGATTCGGATCGCATTCTTTGCATTTGCAAATGAATTAAATCTTTTTTTTTTTTTGTTTTCTAATCTTATATTGTTTGCTATTTAGGCTGCAATGGGCACAATGGATGGAATAATTGACACGGTCTCGGCCATGCACCCTCTCTTCCCTTTGATTAGTCCGTTGAAGACTCGGGGAAGGCTGGTTTGGGTTGGCGCACCGGATAAGCCACTTGAGCTACCGGTATCTCCTCTTCTCATGGGTATGCATAACTCAATCAATCTAAATTAGATCTCATCTAGCATGTTAGTCAAATAAAGAAAACGACTTAATGTAGTGACTACTTTTATTGCTTGACGGGAAGAAAGATAGTTGGTGGTACTAGCGTTGGAGGAATGAAGGAAACACAAGAGATGATTGATTTTGCAGCCAAGAACAACATAACGACGAGACATTGAGGTGATTCCAATCGACTATGTGAACACCGCCATGGAGCGGCTTTCGAAAGGAGATGTTGGATACCGATTTGTCATTGACATGGCGAGCACATTGAAGATTTGAAGTTTTATCTTTCAAATTGAGTGAAGAAATGGTCCGTAATTTGAGGTTTTGTGGGTCCGAATCATTTTTCGGTTTATAGCAATAAGTTTTTGTGCTTGGACGTATGGTGGGCAATGGAATTGGATGGCCTGACCCATTGAGGCTCGCTCCTTTTATTCTAAATCCAATATTTTCTTTCTTCGGATGTTTTCGTAATGATTTGGTGGGCGGTGGGCTTATAACGGGAATTTTGTTAGATGATATTGTCTCTCATTTATGTCGAAGTCGCACCTCGATGGCCTAATAATTTGCCCCCAAATGGCTCCATCGAGCATTAACTTCACATGAGCGATACTCTAATAAACTCAAAAAACACTAAAAGATGGTTACATGTCGTTTATAAGTTGTTCTTTGTGATTTATTGGGCGGTTCGTCGAGACTCGGCCGTACCGCTCTCTTTCTTTTGCTATCCGATTGTCGTGTTGTTGTCATCATGAGTCGTTTTTTCTGTCCTTTTTTCTCTTTGTTTATGTTAATCTATCATTAACTGGTTTCGATTACCTTATAACCTTTTTTTCTTTAATGTTTTCACGTCATTTTTCATAACTTCTCAAATCTATTATAAAAAGCCTCTTTCCTCCATCCTTCTATATTTTTTTATTTATCTTTTATGTCATTGAGTGGCTTGTGATTACGTTTTTGCTCTCTCTCTTTTGTTTTCTTTTTTTCTTTTAGCACCTCCACGCTCTTTTTCGTAACTTTTCAAGTATAATATGGAGAACAATTAAATGCCCAATTCCGCTTTGTTAGACAATGATTTAAAGCTAAAAATTATGTGGATCTTAAATTATTAATTTATAGGAAAATATTATTTTTTATCTATTATTTATAATTATCAAAACGTTTATCATTAACTAGAATACGAGTTTAATATAATGATAAAATTTATTCTAAAACTATTAGGGTTGCTACAAAATAAGGTCTATACTATCAATTTGGGCTATTGAAACCCCAAACTATTATTATTATTATTATTATTATTATTATTATTATTGCCATTGTTATTATTATTATTATTTGCAAATTTGATAGTTCTCCATTATTTCGATAGTCAAAGTGTTGATCGTTAACTCGAAATATTTAAAACATTATTGTTTTAAGCATTTTAATTTATTAAAAAATGAAAATTAATTTCAAAATAATAATAATAATAATAATAATAATTCATTTTGTTAAACTACATAGATACATTGCACATTGTTTTATCTAGTAACAAATGTAAGATTCATAAATAAATAAAAAATCATCCGAGCTATCTTAAACTAATTATTATTAATTTTTTTAAAATTAATTTAAATTATTAAAAAAATTTATTAGATGGGTCCATTACACATCATTAATTATCTAACAACAAAAGTTAAATTTATAAACAGCAAAATCATCTAACCTTTCTTAATATTAAAAAATTAAAATTAATTTGAATTTTGAAAAAAAGAAGAAGGAATGGTTGGCAACAATAGATAAGGATAAAATTTACCCAAAAACTCATAATTTATGGTCCAAATAGCCTAAATTAATAGTATAGAACATGAATTGCCATAATCCAATAGTTTGGAGGTAATTTTTGCCATTAAATCATCCGACTAAGCTTTTTGATGCACAAATGTCTAAAATTAGAGTAGAAAAGCAATTAATATTTTTAATACCTTTAAGTTTTCTTTTCGCTTGTTTGGGAAAAAAAAATTGGATTGATTGGGTTCTATTTTTTAAAAAATAAACTAGTTAAGAAAAGAAAGACAAAAAAGATATAGAAAGGAAAAAATTTATCAGTTTTTATTATTGTTTGGTTAAATACGTATGAATTTGTTATGGCTATGATTTTTTTTTTTTTTGCTTTTTTTTCATCAATTTATTTTAATTTTATTATTATGAATTATTGGGAGAAACTTCTGAATGATTGATCATTACTTTAGAACCTAGAGAGAAAAATATATATTTTAAAATAAACATATATTTTATATTATATTACTCTTATTATTTAAAATTTATTTTTTTAATTTGTCTTTTCTTATGAAAATTATCATCCAATTGATTTTTTATTTTTTTATTAAATTTTATTTACAAAGGAATATAATTTTTTTTTTTTATCTTCGTATGGATTTTAGATTTTAAAATAAAATTTTAGAACAAAATTATTTTTTATTTTTTAAAAAATATAAATGACATAACTATATGTTAGAGTTTTTGAATCATAGCTCTACATGAGAAGCCTTTACACTAGGATTGACCATGTATGGCCTAAAAATAAAAATAAAAAAATTAAGAAGGAAAAATAAAGAAATTCATGCATTCTATTTGCTACTTCTTTACATAATAAAAATTTATTGAAATTAATTTTTGTAATAGTTTTTATTTTAGTCTATTGACATCAAATTTGTTCAATATATTACTTACAAATTAACTATTATTTTTTTATATTTTATATTTTATTTTACAAACTCTAAACCTACTCAATATAGTTATTATGTAAATAAAAATATATTAAATTATTGATTTTATTAGAAATTAACTATGCAACAACACAAAACATAAACCATTTACTATTTATTTATTTTGAAATATTATGAAATCAATTTCTTTCAAACTAAATAATTAAAACTATGACTTGTGGAACCGATTAATTTTTCAAATATAGTTTTTATTCTAATATTTATGATAATTTTATGAAAAAATACATCAAAAGCAAAAGTACATATTTTCAAAAACCAATCTTCTTATCAACATTAAATAATAATAAAAAAATATTTATTTATTTATTTTTATGTAAATTTTTACATCAATTGTTACTTTATTTTAATGACACAATCTTATAAAAAAATATAATGGCTTTTTTATTTCGTATTAAATTTTTTTTTAGATTATTACAAGTTTTTAATTAAGAATTAATGAATAAAAAAATTATTTTTTAATAAAAAAATTGTAAAAAATCCAAGAAAGAATTTGTTAAATATAAAATTTTGGTTATAAAATTATAAAATTGAATGATTTCTTTTTTTAGCTTTGATTAATAATATATTTTAGCGGATTCATAATATAGCACGGATCATTAAATTAAAATAATTTTTTAAAATAATTTTACATATTCCGATTGACCTATATCATCACATGAATACTAAACTAATGTGATCTGGTTTTTATTAGATTGTCGTATTGTTTAAAATAAACAAGTTTTTGAATATTATTTACAATTTTTGGAATTACCGAACTACCAAAGTTTATGTGTTACCTTATTATACCATTGTAAGTGCATTTCTTTTTATGAAAAAGATAAAGGTCTACCAAGAGCTTTTTTTATTTAATTTACTTTTTTCTTTTTATCCACTAAGTATGGATGATGTTGAAAAATAAATCATATTGAATTTAAAGTATGGATTCTAATAAATCATGTAACAATTTTATTCTCTTAAAAAGAGAGATTATTTTGTGATTTTTATTTTTTAAAAGTTAAGTCGTTGATGATGTTTAATTTACAAGGATTTATGATTTTTCTTTTCATTTATTACCTTAGAAGAATAAAATGTTGTAATAAGTTGAGGTTTTTTAATGGTTATTTTAAATTAGACAACACGGTAATGTATCATCGTGATTTTATTTACAAAATGAATTTTAGTGTTTAACTTAGTCGTATAGGTTCAACATGGAATAGAATACAAGCAGAACAAGCAGTGAAGATGCCTCTCGACGACTTTCCAAAAGAAGAATAATGATCGATGATGATAGCTTTTGAAGTGTATATATTATATATTACTTTTGAAAATATTTTGACGCAAAACTTCAGTTAGACAAATACCATAATATAATGTCAAAAAATTAAGAAATAAGTATAAATTTTCCCCTCAATAATGGGGTTGGAACTTAATTTTTTTTTTTTTTGAAAAAAAAATGGACTTTAGAACCAATTTATGTAAAGATTCCTGATCTGCCTTTTCTATTTTTATATATTATAAATTTATACTTTATATTTTATATATTCAATAATATTTAGAGCATAAATTTCTAAATAATTGATCCTTACTTGATTAATTTTATCAATACGATTCTTAATGTCATCAAATGGTTTCAATTAAGCTTGTTATTTAATTCCATGAGTTACGGTTAACATAGTGTGTTTAAACTACACATGTAAATGACGTACTCTACTATGTATTCCAAATTATTATATTGAGAGGCGCGCAAAATGTTTGGTCGTACCATTCAACATACGGTAGAGAATGAGTCAAAGGCATTCCAAGTGATTTTTATTGAAATATTAGCTCAGCCTATACGTCAGTCGTTTGTACCGCCTCAATGGAACGACTGGTCACACCACGTACTTAGCTCACCAAGTACGTCAGCCTGGCCGTTGTAGCAAAGAGCAAATCATCCACAACTCTATATAGGTGCCCCACGCACGCTCCCTGGGCATTACCAAATTCAACTTCGAGCAAAAACAAATTCCGGAAAAGAAAAGATGGCAGCAAAACTTCATGAGGAAGAGCATCCTACTAAGGCTTTTGGATGGGCAGCTAGAGACCAATCCGGGGTCCTCTCTCCTTTCAAATTCTCTAGGAGGTTCCCTCTCTCTTCTCTATCTTCTTAATTGCAGCACAAATGTCGTTCTTTTCTTTACTTTTCCTTTTTTTCCTTGGTCATAAGAACTATATTCCATTGCATGGTTAAGAAAAAAATTCCTCTTGCAGGGCAACAGGAGAGAAAGATGTGGCATTCAAGGTACTATTTTGTGGAATATGTCACTCAGATCTTCATATGGCCAAGAATGAGTGGGGTACTTCCACGTACCCTCTTGTCCCTGGGTATGTATATTTACACGCAGGAAGAGAAATCTGTGACAATATAATTATTAATATGTATTACAATATAGAAGTATTTTAAATTTGATTGATGCAATTGCATCGACCTGAAGGTCAATTAAATGGAAAATTAAATTGGCAATGCAGGCATGAGATTGTTGGACAAGTGACAGAGGTAGGAAGCAAAGTTGAAGAGTTCAAAGTTGGAGACAAAGTGGGAGTGGGGTGCATGGTTGGATCATGCCACTCTTGCGATAGTTGCAGCAACAACCTTGAAAATTACTGCCCAGAAATGATACTCACTTATGCTGCGAAATACTATGATGGAACCACCACATACGGAGGCTACTCAGACATTATGGTGGCAGATGAACACTTCGTAGTTCGAATTCCAGACAACCTACCCCTTGATGCCGCTGCTCCTCTCCTATGTGCAGGAATTACAGTGTATAGCCCCTTGAGATTTTATGGTCTTGACAAACCGGGTATGCATGTGGGCGTTGTTGGGCTTGGCGGGCTAGGACATGTAGCTGTAAAGTTTGCAAAAGCTATGGGGCTCAATGTAACTGTGATCAGTACCTCCCCCAACAAGCAGCAAGAAGCTCTTGAGCATCTTGGTGCTGACTCATTTTTGGTTAGCCGCGACCCGGATCAGATGCAGGTATACATGATTCAGAGAAAATTCCTTGCATTTGTAAACAAATTAGTAAATCTTTTTTCTGTATGTCAATTTGTTTTCTAATATTATATTTGTTTGATACTTAGGCTGCAATGAGCACAATGGATGGAATAATTGACACAGTGTCGGCTATGCATCCTATCTTGCCTTTGATCAGTCTATTGAAAACTCAAGGAAAGCTGGTTTTGGTTGGTGCACCTGAGAAGCCGCTTGAGCTACCGGTGTTTCCTTTGCTCATGGGTATGGATATTTGTACATCTCAATAGATATTCTAATTTATTGTCGCATTCTACTCATGGGTCGTCAGATAAATATATTGCAAGAGCTAACAATAATGACTACTGTGTTATGGCTTAACAGGAAGGAAGATTGTGGGTGGTAGTTGCATTGGAGGAATGAAGGAAACACAAGAGATGATTGATTTTGCTGCCAAGAACAACATAACAGCAGAGATTGAGGTAATTCCAATGGATTACGTGAACACTGCTATGGAGCGACTATCGAAAGCAGATGTTAGATACCGATTTGTCATTGACATTGGCAACTCATTGAAATTTTGAATTTTATCTTTCATACTAAAGGAATAAATTTGGCATGTAATATGAGGATTCGCGAGTCTAAATCATTCAATTTTTAACTTTTAAGTTTATGTGTGGTTTGAAGCATTGCCTCGACGTAATGTTATGCCGGCCGGGCAACAAGCATGTCGATAGGATGCCTCAACCCCTAGTGGTTGCTTCGGCTGAAGTAGCTGCTTTCTTCATCAATTATTTTTGTAATGCTCTGGTGGGCTTGCTTTTATTATAATTAACACGATTTCTTAAAAAAATTATATGGTTTTTCATTTACTGAATTTGCAATAGTTTCTGTTACCTGGCCCCTCCTAAATTCTAGCAAATTAATAGCAATTGGCAAGTAACAATAACTGGTCTGTCCAATAAAAGATTTATATTTATATAATAACTGGTTTCGTATTCTTTCCTCCTCCAATCTTTATCAGAGTTTGAGTTTTTTTTTTTTTTTAATCCTTTTTATTTACCGTTGAAGGTCAATAGTCTTCATTGACTTTTCTTACTACCAGTATTTCATGTTTCTTTGTTTGCCTCACACAAGGGTACGCAAACAGTTTTTTTTTGGTTTGGAACAATTTCGATTTGGTTTTAGTTAACCATAAAATAAAAACTAAAACCGAAAATTTATGATTTTTCAGTTAAAAAACCAAAACTCGGTTTTTGGTTTTTCCGGTTTCAACGTTTTTTTTTAAAAAAAAAAATTCTGAATGGACTTTAGGCATCTGGCCAGTGGCTTTTCGCTTTTAAACGTATGGACTGGGCCATTGCCCATCTTACCTGATTCCATTGCTGCCTTGGCTATAAAAAAATCAAGAATTTATAACTCAAGTTTCCAAATATTTGACATGAAAAGTTCAAGCATGAAAATTTTCTCTAGTAAGCCTTTTTAGGGTCAATGGCAGTTCAAGAATTTTAGGGGATGAACTAAAATTCTTTGATGCACAACCCATCACCAAAGAACCCAGCCTTGCCATCGCTGAACCTTGGCGCCACTCTCATCCTTACTAAGCACCGCTAGAAAACACAGTGCACCAAATGCATCCCCGCCACGATTTCTACCACTTCATCCATTAGCAACCCCGATCACAATCCTCATCAAAACGTCATGGTTTTTTCAATCGCCGTGAGTTTTTTATTTTTGTTGCCCTGATCAATCCCTTCCTTCTCAAAGCCCATCTGTCATCTCACTGTCAGCCAAGCAATTCCAAAACAATACAGACTCCGTAAGTCCTAATTGAAATGAAAAATTAACAAAAGTCTTTAGATTGTTCCAAATATGTATTGACAGAGAGAAAACCAGAGACATTGATCAAGAAGACATGGGTGTTTACTGAAAAGTTTCAGATATACTCCAATGGATTATGCTTGTGTTTAGGGCAGAAAGTAATATAACACCAAACCGTGTGATTTTTTTTTTAAAAAAATAATTTAATAACTTTTGGTCAAATAGAAATTTTTTTCTCCTTGGACTTAGGTTACAGGATGGTGGATTAATTAGACTTTTTTTTTTTCTTTCCAAAGCGAAATGCCAGCAGCAATCATTTGGACAGCCATTGGAAACACTCTCTCTTTGTGATGGAGCACGTGACATGGAAGCTAATCAAGAATATCTAGAAACTGGTTTAGCTATCACCTCTTCTCTTTCTTCTCTTACGGATAAAAAGGAAAAACATTGTGCTCTCTGCCTCTCCTCCCTCTCTTCATTCTTTGCAAATTCTATCGTACTTGTCATGGATTATGCAATTTGGAACTAAAATTCGATTCCTTGTTATCAGATTCACATTTAATTAATTCCATCTTTAAAAGGAATTAAAAAGGTCAATCTTTAAATTTTTTCTGATTGCTTTTAATTTCCATGAGCATCTTTTGTTTATTGAAACCATATAGAAATTGGATTTTAATTCTATTCTTATAGATGGGTTTTCGAATAGTTTAGAGTCTCTACTTACATGCCCTTTCGTCATCATGACGCATGCTATCTTGATAGTTAGATATTCGTATGTGATGTTTTTAATTCAGGATGCACTACTTCAAGAGGTTATGTTTTTAGTTTACGAGGAGGTTCCTTTTTTTTTTAGCGGTAAGTGATTTTCCAGAGAAGGTTTGTTGGATGTGATCTAAGTTTTTTTGGGCCGAATCGATTGACTTTTGTTTCGCAAATCTTCTTGAATGTGCACACAATTAGAAAATAAAGCACAATCTACTGACAGGAATTAGAAAATAAACCTACGTTTTTTAGACGGACCTGGTACGTGTTCAATAATATACATGTCTAAATTAATTTACAAATGAGATTATGTAGTGGGAAGTGAAGTTTCCTCCTTTTAATTTATATAAATCATATTTTCTCGAAAGAAAAGGAAAAGAAAACAAAAGTTATAATTGAGTCATGCATCATGATTTTAATAATACCTAGATTATTATGAAGAATGGAATTGCATTTGTTTCTTGCTGGCTCAATGTCTATCATGAATGGTTCCGATTTTAACAAGTTTCTAGTAAAATTACAATCATCATGGCCTATTTTTAGGGAGAGTGTGGCTAACGCGCTCTGTCTTTGATTCTTTTTTTTTTTTTTTTCGAATGATGATATTGGGACTTTTAAGGTAAAATTACCTTTTACCAATATATAAACAACTTTATTTTTTTTTTGAATGCTTTGTTTTTCTATTTAATTGATCCCGTTAGTTTAATAACTGTTTTATTATTATTATTATTAATCGAGAGGCTAATCTTTAAACTACAAAAGTAGGATAATCTTTCTTCAATTAATAAAAAAAAACTAAAAAAAAATTGTACAGTGAAAATGCTACAATACGAAATCTCACATTTAAAGTTCCCCAAGATCAAAGCTACTATTCATGAATAGCATGGTGGCATTTTTTGTAGTTTTTCCAGATTTTTAGGGCATTTTAAAGCCAATTTTTAATGCATTTCACACTTCCATCACTAATTTTTTTCATTCCTTTTATTTTGATTCAAAACTTTATTTATATTACTGTTTCCTTTGTGTATGTAAAGAAAAAAGAGAAAAACAAAAAAAAAGAAGAAAGAAGAGAGAAAAAAATCATCAATACCATTATGACCATAAAAACTATTGATTTTGACTTTAAAGTGTTCATCTTGAAAAATAAAATTTATTTATAGTGATTTATCGGACATAATATAATTATATAAAAGATATCGAAATTTAAAATATATTCAAGTTTTTATACTTTTAAAGCGTATTAAAATTTGCTGCAATATTCCAAATGAGCTCAATAAGATTGTTTCAGTGACTTTGTATAAAAGAGATCAGAAATTTAAAATATATTTAAGTTTTTATACTTTTAAAGCGTATTAAAATTTGTTGCAATATTCCAAATGAGCTCATTAAGATTGTTTTGATGACTTTGAGGTGAAAAAAAGATATTGGAAATTTGTGTTTGAGAAGTCAAAAACCAAGATTGATTTTCACCATGAATGATGGAATTCAAAAAGACCAAAACTCATTCTTGCAACCTATTCTTGTTCCAATTGTTTGAGGAAATTAGACATTCTGGATGGAAATCTACCACGAAAGGACTCTTTCCTATGCAACGACAAGTCATTTGATAAGACAAACAATGCAACGTTCACATGTGTGTGTGTGTTTTTTTTTTAGCTAGAGTCGAGCTTGATGCACTAGGCCTAAGCGAGTGCAGGCCCAGCGGCGAGAATTAGGCCCAGCTCATCCAAATTTCTTTTAATTGATTTTTTTTAAGAATTTTTTTTAAAAAAATATTTCTTTTTTTAATATATGATATTTCATTTTGGAATAAAAAAAATCCTTAAAATTATGTTGACTTTTTTTACAACTATAGTTAATTATTTTAGAATTACTTATTGTTTTTAATTTCACACTTCATCAAATTATATGAATAATCAAGCAAAAAGTTTCAAATTTATTTTAATGTACAAATAATAGTTTAACGTTTATTAATCTGTTTCGCTCCATCCTTTAATTTTAATTTTTATGTTGCTTTTTTTCCCTCAATTTTTTAAATATTGAAATTTTTTCTTTAAAATATGAAATCACTCAAATAATATATACACTTGACTATTAAACCTATAATTAGATTAAAAAATAAAATATCATAACAAAGTAAATGATTCAAAAAAGTTTGAATCAAATGTTTCAATAAATTAAATTTTATTTCCAACCCAAATTAAAACAATAACAAACGGAGAACACAAACCTAATAATATAATATGCCTTTCAATTATATTTTTTAAGATAATGTTTCAATAAATTAGATTTTATTTCCAACTCAAATTGAAACAATAACAAATAGAGAACACTAACTTAATAACATAACGTTACATTCAATCTTTTTTTTAAAGATTGAATCAATATATTTATTATTTTCACTTCAACATAATTTCATCAAACATTTTAAAACATTCTACCATTGGCCCGTAACGTATCGGCACGTTTGATAGTGTTTTAACTAATTGAATTGGATGATAGGGATTAGTTGAAATTGGTGAATAATATGACAAATTTAAATGCCCAAGAATCACCAATTACCAACCTTAATAAGAAGGGTATATTTGTTATTTCTCCAACATATATTATTTTAATGGGTGGCCTACAACCATTGGTTTAGAAGCGTGAAATTCATTGATTAAAAATGAATTACTTATCTAGAATTCAACATGTATCTTGAAAAATAAAATTTATTTATAGTGGTTTATCACACATAATATAATTGGATAAAAGATATTAGAAATCTAAAATATATTTAAGTTTTTGTACTTTTTAAGTGTATTAAAATTTGTTTCAATATTCCAAATGGGCTCATTGAGATTGTTTCATTGACTATGAAATAAAAAAAAAAAAAAAAGATATTGGAAATTTGGGTTTGAGAAGCCAAAAATAAAGGTTGATGTTCATCATGGATGATAGGATTCAAAGAGACAAAAACCCATTCTAGCAGCCTATTCTTGTTCCAATCGTTTGAGGAAAGTAGACATTCTAAGTGGAAATCTACCATGAACGGAGTCTACCCTTTGGAATAATCGGTTTCCTGGCTGACCTTGGTTATGATGGAAAACTTGTAGGAAAAGTAGACAAGGACGACACATCATTTGGGTAATAACCCAAATTTAAAAAAAAAAAACGACGATTGTATAAAAGGAGCAGTAATTGTCATTTTTTTCTAGATTTTTTCCCACTTTTCTCACTTGTTACTCTCCTAAAACTCCTCCCCTCTTCACTTTAATTCCTAAGCTAATTCATTATTAAATTAGCTTAGAGGAAACATAAATTAGTTGATTTAAGTGGAGTATGGCTAGCGTGGAGTTTGGGAAGCTTGGAAAGCTAGGAAGGATTTGGGATTTAGAGAGCATAGTGTAAATGCAAGATTTTTGATCCATTGATCTTAAATTATGAAGTTTATGTGTAGTTAATAATGGATTAGCTTTGGATTGTGATTTGCTTAAGGAATTGCTTAGATCAAGGTTAGGGTTTTAAGACCTATTTGGGGAAAAGTGATCTTAAGTGATCATGATAGCTTGAATGATGTTTAATTGTCTTGGACAAGTGATGAATTAAGTTAATTTGAAGTAAAATTGAGTGAATTTGAGAAATTGAGAAGTTAAAGATGATGAATAGTAAAAAATCCGAATTTAGGTTTTAATTGAAAAGAATTTTAGGAAAAATGAGAAATTAAGTTATAAAATACAATTAAAGATGGATGGAGAGATTATTGGATGGATTAGAATAGAATTGATCATTTAATCAAATTAAGGATTGATTTATTGGAGGTTGATTGTTTATGGAATATGATAAAGATTGGTAATGGAATGTGATTAATTGATTAATTAGAATCAATCTAGGGATCATAAGATTTAGTTAGATTATCGGATCGAGTCTTTTCAATCAATTCTGTTTTTATTTGATAATCTTGTATATCTAATTCTAGAATAATTCATTGTTTGGATTATTTCTTGTTATGTGATATTGATCTATCATTTTATGATGCTAGATTCTTTGGAGCGTGCGACTCCATCCCAACTATCTTGATTTTCGTTCGGTTCTTCAATTGTACTATGAGTGAATATTATATTGTGTACTATATTTTAAAGTTTTTGATTCGTCCATCATGCACCATTGTTTATAAATAATTTATAAGCATTCTAGTAGAACTTAGATGGGAATTGAAATGTTTTCATATCAAATGATTTGATGAGAATTGAAAGGAGATTCAAATATGTTGGATAAATGTGAATGATTTTGGTATATGTTTTTGGATTTGAACATGACTATGTTATATTCACTATTTTGAGTATCATGTAATTTATAAAAATGCATACATTGTGTTTGAAATACCGGTTTGAAAAATATACAAATATGTTTCGTTTTTGAAAATATTTTCAAGACCACGGGGAGCCTAGCTACTGGAGGGTGACGTTTGAGCTCAATGACATGAGGCTCTATCCGGCAAGAGAGGTATCGTGCTAGATTGTATGTCGACTAACATGTAAAAACCTAGTCACGAGGGAGGGATGACCTTTGGGTGTTCGAACCTAATGATCCGCTATTACCCTACGAGTATATAAAATCTATATATGTGTTTTTGTATGAGTATGATAAATGTATGAACAAATGTTTTGACAATTTGATATGAAATGGTTTGAACCATTTGACTTGTGATGTGAGATGTGTTTTCGATATGTATGTGTTTTGAGAATAAGCATTGCCTTTTGACATGGATTTGAACACATCGCGATAGTATGTTTTCCTCCCTTAGTATATTATATAATGTCTATTCACCGAGCTATTGATTGCTCACCTCTCCTTATTTCGGCTTTATAGGATATTGAAGAATTGCTCATTGCATTCTTTTGATTACTTGATCCGAAGTAGGCACTTTGGTCGTATGACTCACTTTAATTATAATTCTTTAGAATCTATGTTTGTTTAAAATTGTAATCTTAGATGCTCTATAGTTACGATTGTAGGTAGTGTATTAAGAGTTGATTGTGAATATGAAATTTTGAATACCGATTTTGGA